TGATTGATAGTACGTGGATTAACCTAAGCATCGTCCTTCGGGCCCTTGTGTTGCGCCATCTATAGTTCCGGCCACTTTGTCGCAGCACGAAGTCCATTCACGAAGCTCAACCGAATTTCAGCCGTCGCGATTCGCCGACTTGGCACGTTTAAGCTCGCCATGTCAAATCCGGTCGCGAGGTTCGCAACGAACTGCTATTTTATGCAAAAAAACAAAAAAACAAAAGCCAAATCACGGCAATAAATGAAACTAAAGTTCGATCAAAGCAGGAAGCGTGAAGAGCAGGCAAAGCGTCTACTACCCTTCGTTCTCATGGCGGCCGAAGGATCGCATGAGCTGCAGCTTCCCGTAGTAAATATTGCAGGAACATTATAAAATACATATTATGGACATTTCTTTAGCGAATACAAAAAATACATCAAACTACAAAACTTGACATCGACAGCCTGTTCTCTGCTTTAAATAAGCAACAAAAAATAGTTCCGATGTGAATACTTGCCATGATCGTGCTTGAGAAATGCCCGAGGATGTGCTGCCCGCTAACATATACAAATGGCCCAGGAAAGAAATACTTTATCCGTTACACTGGAGCGTAGGATAAAGTAATTGTAATTGATAGGACTTCACGTACATGCAAAGGCTGCTCCAAGGGAGTGTGAAGAGAAGAGGCGAGATAAAATGGTTGCTCTATTACTACGAAGATACAGAAGAGCAGAGGCCAGAAGAAGAAACGCAAGAACACACACCAGCGTTAAAAGTTAATCAGTGGCAGCACCTCTGAATTCTCATTATAACAGTGACACGCACAGGTTTAGACTTCTTTAACAAGGTTCCAGGATCAGGTACTATGTTTACTTACGTATACTGAGCAGCTGGTGGACGTAAAAGCAAGTATTATCAATATATTGCCGTAGACATATTCTGTGTCCGGCCTTAATAGAGTCAGATAGATGCTATCATTCAGAACTTAATTTTTGCAGCTGTGCTTGGCAACGCAACCCTGTGTGATCACAACACTTAAAAGAGCTTGAATACTAGGCTTACTTTCAGCGATGGTCTCCGGTTGAGTGCATAACGAAAAACTACGGCCATACTTTATCTTTAAAGCAGGCCTTTCATAAACTGAAGAAGGCGCACGTGGGTGAGCATAAGACATTTTCTATGAGTGAAACAGCCCGATGCAAAAGCTTCCGGCAGTGCCGTAAATTTTGAATGCACTACCGAGGAAGCGCTCCATAGACACTACGCTCGTTACATACCAAACGCTTCACACGGTTGATCTTGTGACATTTCTTAAATCAGATACGTTTCTTCGCTTTACGACATGATGAACAGAGCAGGGCAGGTGCTGTGAGAGCGTATATGTATACACACGAAGTTGAAATTAACGTATGTAGTCGCCCAAATCCTTAACCATCGTGCGCTAACAGCAATCCTTTCTGCACATGTTCCCCTCCCCGTATGACTGAAGTAAGTTCCACAAAGGGGGAGAGCAATTGCATGTCCATATACACATACCCACAAAATGGTTCAGATCTACATTCCATCACGCGTGCTGACACACAAAAAACCGCCACATCACACTTCGAAACTTTTTACTACACCTGTCTCGAAGTGTCTTGTAATTGCAACCTGCACATATAAGAGGGATAATGACGAAGAAAGCGTTGCCTACTTATACATGGTGTCCCACAAAACTTGAGCCAAGAATTTTTGAGTGAAAGACACTTAAGAGGCGAATTGAACCAAACGCATACTACTCGCACTAGCCTGTAGTTAGTCAAGCTATTTTTTTATTTCTCCCTATACTAATTAATTATTAATTACCTATTTTAATTATGGGCTGGAAACCCAACATATGAACACAGAGATGTACAGCACTTTCAGAAACCACCGTATCAATTGTCTCCTGTAATATACGTCTCACGCTGTTATTTTTTCCCACGTTGTAAAGAAAGCCCGCAAAATGTGAAAAGTGTGACGGACCGCGAGCGCACTGCTATAGTGCTGCTATAGGCTTTCTTTACAACTGCTGCAAAAATAACAGCGCTAGACGTATTGTACAGGAAACAATTTAGTCGGTGGTTTCTGAAAGTGATCTACATCTCAGTGTGAATATTTTGGGTTTCTAGCCCATAATTAAAAATATATAATTAAGAGTTATTAATTATTTAGTATGGGGAGAAATGAAAAATAGCCTGAGTACCTCCAGGCTAGAGCGAGTAATACGTGTTTGGTTCAATTCGCTGCTGAAGTGCCTTTCATTTTCAAATGCTTGGCTCAATATATGTGGGACACCCTTATATAGGTTACGTACAAACAAGCAGAAGCTGCTCTACCTGGTGTCTAACGAGTTGTGTGTCGTGAACTTTTGCAGTCGCTACCGATGAACGCGAACGGGTTAAGCCATCCCGGCATCATAACGACGCCGAGACATGTCACGGACCGCTTCACTCGGCCGAGGATTGACGAAAGTGTTCGAAGCTGGGCAAGAAGCTGTCAAGCCGTGAAAGCGACAAACGCGTGCTGCGGTACAGACGCTCAAGCTACCGGGCAGCCGTTTCGACCCCGTACCACTTGAGGCTCGCTCAACACCGGCGACTATCAACGGTCGCGTGACTACGTCGCAGACTATACCCCGCGACAACTTTCTGTGGCAGCACAGCCAAGGCTACGGAGCCGAAGCACGCTTGTCTTACTGCGCCACAGCATGTAGTCCCTCAACGAAAACGTTTGTATACTGTTCTGGGTAACTAAGATTTTACCATTCGTCACTTACATTTTTCGCGGATTTATTTTTTAATTAGTGAATAAAAACGTTGCGCAGTAGAAAAAATTTCGTTTCACGCTCTCTCAGGTTTTTTGGGGGTTTTTTGGCTTCCGTCGACTCGCGTTTCCTGCAGCGAAACGCGAGCAAACGCGAGAAATCGAAACCGAAACACCCGTCGAAGCGGTCGGACTACTTGGCGCAGTAGCACATGTGCATAGGCTCCGCCCACGTAGCCTTGGCCGTGCTGCCACAGAAAGTTGTCGCCGGGTATAGTCGCAATCGTTCGCGAATGGCCGCTTTGGTCGCAACGCGACCCGTTTTGGCTGCATCGCTCGCTGCTCGATTTCTCAGCTGGGTGACTGCACTAGACAAACTCTGAACCAATCACAAATGACTGATTCATAAGTTTAAACGTCTGAAAACCACCACATCATTGTTAGAGACTCCGTAGTGGAGGGCTCCAGAAATCTCGACCACCTGGGGTTCTTTAACGTGCACCCAAATCTGAGCACACGGGCCTACAGCATTTTCGCCTCCATCTAAAATGCAACCGGGATGTGATCCTACAACCAGCGGGTGAGCAGTCGAGTATCGTAGCCCCTATAGACCACCGCGACGGGGCTCTGAACCAATCACGTGCGCAGGAAGAGGACGTAGGTATACTTTATGGGGCAGTGGCAATGCGAGCTGTATACGGGCACGCGTGAATTCTCCTTGGCTACGTATAGGTCGCCGGCAGGTGTGAAGATCTGTCATTTTTTGACCACCTGTCGGAAACAGTCGTGGGACCGGTATACTTGTGGCAGGTGTGATTGAGCCTTTAGACTAAGTGGGGCCTCCCCGTCTTACCGAGGTTTCAAGTACACTGTCCTCCTATGTGAAAGGGAACATGCGATCGCGTGGCTTGCGCTATTCGGTGGCTACGTTACAGCACCATCAACCGGGAGCTGAAGAAAGCAAGGCCACTTTTGGCGTCATCGCCCACAGGTCGAACAGAGCGGGAGCGCAATCTAGCAGCACTTGTCCACTGACCATGATTTGCTATATTGTTTGCGAATAGATGATGCCAAAAGCGGGCGTGCTTTTTTTTCTTAGTTGACTGATGGTGCTGTAGGCAGCCGCTGAAAGGACGCAGGCCACGCGCTCGCGTGTTCCCTTTCACAAATGATGACAGTGTAGATCCTCATACGCATGTAGCGGTACTCAAGGCAACGCGAAGCAGCTTGTTTGCAAAGCATCTTGGAAGAACAATTTTTCCACTTATGCGTCGCTGTATGGTTGCCCTCTACGCGCAACAACGGACCGAGGACCGGATTCCACCTTTTTCCTCTACACGAAGGGCGCACATGCGCAACTTCTCATAGCGGCAAAGTCGCGAAACTGCTCTTGATCTCGGAGGCTTTCACTCTGGCTTTCCTACCAAAATGGACAAGGCTGCACATGAAAACGAAAAGGGCACATTCCTAAAGCACGCCTTTTTTTTTATGAACGAGCTCCACTGTTCGGCACGTGCTTCGGTAGTACCACGTGCACCTAACAAAGCGATGGGATCAACCGTAAGTTCGAGCTCTTCCACCGAAAGCCTACCTGTTTTCCTCATCATTTTTCTCTCATATGGGCGAACATACCTTAAAGACGCTACCCTAAAACGCGCTACATCCTAGACCCGCCTACGGTTTCAGATTGACAATTAGGCCTATACAAAGCGGTGCAGTTGATCTTCCAGCTATAACGTTACACCGTAGGAAACAACCCGGCCCGACAGTGGGAACTGGTATACATTGCCACTGTTGCACAAAGATACTAGGATAACTGAGAACATAACGCACAGCAATCGTGTCACTGTCAGAAAGTGCTCTTCTTTCAACGGGCACGCTTCTACGGAGATTAAAAAGATAAACGCCCGAGCACTTACACCGACGATCTGGATAAAGTAACGTTAACACAGATGCTTACGCTCGGCTGCTGAACCGAAAGTCGTAGATTCGATCTAGGCCACGGCGGTCGCATTTTGGTGGAGGCGAAATCGTGGAGACTCTTGCACTGTGCGATGTAAATGCACGGTAAAGAACACCGGATGGTCTACGGCGTCTTTCATAATCACTACAGCGTCTCTCACTACGGCGTCTCTTATAATCACTACAGCGTCTCTCACTACGGCGTCTCTCATAATCACACCATGGTTTTGGCACGGTAAACTTTAGCTATTAATAAATTAACAGGTACTTACGCTTGAGTGCTGCAGGCCTTGAGCGGATTGCTGTAGCGGCCGTATTTGTCGCCTTGATGCGTACAATCGCACGGATAGTGAAAAAAAGAAAGGGAACCGGGCGACAAACCTTCTCATAAGAATGGCCGAAGTAAAGCCGCACCGTAAAAAGATCGGCACAAGTGGCTGAAGACAGGCAACACAAGATTGCGACACGTGGCGCTGTTTTTTTCCCGAGCACGCTGGTGTCGAGAGTGCCAAGGCTATTCCATTTTCAAAGCAGGGGTGGCCGGCTGAAAGGGCTAGAACAAACGGGTTTTCGGGGCAACGGCGATAAAGATACGGTTGCACGCCGCTTCAGCGCAAAAAAAAAAAAAAAAGATGTGCTTAGTCACATCCACCGATAAGCAACGAAGAAGCGTTTTTTTTTATATATATGGCCTTTCGGACGGGCCAACAACAAGACGGACTGCTTTCCGCCGACCACCCCTGCTTTAGAAAATGGAATGTGCTTGGTAATCTCGCTATAGGCGTGCTTGTGACCAACAGCGCCGAGTGTTGCAATCTTGCGGCTCCGGCCACCGGTCTCTTGAGCATTTTTTGAATGCGGAGCATTTTGTACTCGCACAGTTCGCTCTTCGGCACCGTTCACAACCCCACTGCGCATGCTCGCGCCTTGTGCGGGCCCAGGACAGGAATACACGCGCAAAACTGTCGCTCCCTCTCTCTCGCGTACCAAGGCCGACGCAGGCACCATCTGCTAGTAAAAAAAAAGAGAGAGAGAGAGAAAAAAAAACAACTGCTCGCGCTGCCCAACCGTTTATGTAAGCACTGGATTGCGCTTTCGGGATTCATTCAAGGGCGTCTTTAATTGGCTCTCGCTTGACGTTGAAGGCGAGGCTTCTCCTTCATTCAATAAATTAGAATAATAAAGACGAGATAACAATTAAGTATTCCCAAACCATACCCAATTACGCATCATTCCCGCGATACCTCTACCACTCTGCGACGTATTTACTCGAGTTTCCCCCGTGGGAAGATGCAGGTGGCATGCTTTTTTTTTTTTGCTGCACATTCGTTATTGAGGTCTTTCTCACCACTTACCCCCTCCCTTTTTACTCTACCCTGAACTACTGCGTGACTTTCTTGTCAATTTTCCCTCGACGCGAGGGAAAACGTCAATCGGACGATAGCAGTCAGCATACGATTTTGGAAAGTAACTATATCCAGAAAAACGGGCCAGTTTATACAATGTGGTACGTTGTCAAATTTAGCTCGTCAGTCTAATCGTGTCTGAATATTTCGTTGACGAATTTGCAAAAAAAAATATCACAGCTATCCACAGAAAAAATGATGATGAGTGGGGCGAAGCGTCCGTCAATTCGTTCGTGCTTCCGTCCGTCCGTCTATCTGGTGAACACTTCAAGTACCGCCGCCTCGCTTCTTTTTATGCTATATTCATCATGTACCGCCATCCAGCGGACAATCTAAAGACTAAACGAGAGTGTGTACCACATTTCTGCTGTCAGCGCTTTGTTGACACCTAGAGCGTGATAACAACGCCGTGCTACGTTTTTCGGAACATGTGGGCGTTCGGATATGTGCCCGAGGGCGAGTACGGGCCCCAGGTTACGCACTGCGACAACGGGACGCGCACAAGCCACGCCATAGGAGCTTCGCCCCTAAAAAAGTCGATGCGCAATTGTCACGTTCTATTATATTAATCATCCGACCGCGTGTGCTGTGGCAGCTTTCACACAAGATAAAGGCATCGTGCATACGTTCGGAGTCGCTACACTCGCGTGCTGCATTTAGTGCCAAAGCGGCCACGGCAGCAAATCGGACGTTATGTGGGAGCAGTCGACTCAAGCGGCGGCAAGTAACTGCGCCGTGCTTTTGTGCTTCACTTGAGACGTTTATGTTTCAGTTTGCTTCCAAAAGACGTTAGATTGCTTGCAGCCGTCAGAGAACGCGTGCTTTTTTTCGCCACACCTCATGCACCCTCAGGCGAACGCAGCAACATAAATGTCAATCATTGGCAAATGCACACCACAGACGCGTTTGATCGCTACTTTAGTGTGCAAAACATTTGTGAGAATCGAGGTACGTTTCTTAAATTTTTGCTATTGCTTTTAGAGGCGAAGTTCTTTAAAGCGGCACCCGTTCGTTTCTCGTCATAGTACGTAACATTTCTTACGCTTTGACCTGCAAGGTGATGCCAGTGGGAGATTTCTCCTGTGCCTCGTTGAACAATGAAAAAATTCGCAGCGTGCTCGCTAACTGTAAGCTGAATTCTCCTGTCTCTCATTCCCCATTAGCAGCCATTGGCATGTACATTGAGCACTATCTGACAAGAAAGGGTTGCTACGTTATACTCGCTGGGCGTAACCTCCTTGGTTTTAGAAATGTTTGGCGAGCGTTGGGCCGCAGTGCCATGAATACAGTGAACTAGTATATACTATAAACTCAAGGTGGTTGAAGGTGGGAAGTAGACCCGGAAGCGCAAACCGTAAAAAAGTGCGTGTGCAACCTCTCGTTTATTCCTTAGAATGTCCGCTGGATGGCGGTGCTTCTATAAGCGGAATATATGATGAAAAGATGCGAGATAGTGGTACTTGGAGTGTTGACTAGATGGACGAACGGACACACAGACGGATGCATGGACGGACGCACGGATGGCTGCACGGACGGACGGACGCAGGGGCGAATGCATGGACGAACTCAGGGACGGACGTGCGGACGCACGAACAGACGCACGGACGGGCGGATGGACGCACGTACGGTCGCACAGACGGACGCATGGACGGACGAAGCAAGAACGAATGGACGGACGAATGCTTTGCCCCACTCTCCATCATTCACTCCGAGAATAAGCTGCCATTTTTGTTTGTTTGTTTTAGTTCATGTTATGTTTTCAGGTCGGTGAAAGTCGTGCGCCCAAATGTTAATGCCGTGTCGGAGTCGCAGTTAAGTGTAAACATGCTACTTGCGCTTAGTTGATCGCGTTGATAACGTGGACGAACCATGACTCTGACCACTGGACGAGCGCGAAAAGCATCGAAAAAAAGCACCGTCCCGCGATTAGCAGCCCAGCGCAAGAGGGTGAAAGCATCACGTCAAATCTGCGCTTGTTGCCGCTACAGGTAGGTGTCTTCATCGGCGATGGAATCACTTCTGCACGGATCGTATACATTTCGGGGGCTGAGTAAACGCTTAACAAGATAGCGTACCGTTGCGTTTTCTTTTTTTTTGAAAAAGCGACCAATCGTTTCCTTATGTAGATGTTAACACATGTCCTATGTGTTTTATGCTCTTTATTCTCGCTTTTCCAGCGCTGCAAAACAGTCTGAATACTAAACCCTCTTCCCTTATCTACATGAAAGTCACATACACTGTTAAAGTTTATTCATTCATTCAATGCCCACATACCTTTTGCCAGACGAGACATTTTCCCGAGCCAGGGAACAAAACAAAACAAAAAAGAAAAAGCAAATACGTCGCAAGAAAAATGTGGCAGGTTTATTTGCCTTTTTACGCAACCAACATCTCTTCCATTGACATCAGTTTTCTTTAGAAGCGTGATCTTATGTACAGTAGCGAACGAAGCACAAGAAAAATAGATTATATGCATATACCTATGTACAAATATATACGCCATAGTATTTACAACCACACACCACGTACGTACGTAGACACTTTTTTTTCCTCCTTTAGTATGTGCGCTCGTCGCACTATGTGCAATCTCTGTAACACAACATCCACAAGGAGAAGAACATACATTCGGGGGAGCAAGGCGGCTAATAGACGAGAGAATGCGAGACGCCCCAGTAGCTCTTTGGTCGTGGCTATGCAGGACCCACGCGAGTGCACACAAACATGATAGACACATCTTCAAAGCGGGGTTTGAGGCTAGAAAATGCAACGAGTTGTTCATAATTCTCGTGACGTCACGTTGCAATGTGGGGCAAAGAGAAAAAAAAACAGCAAAACGCGTCATCCACAATGGTGGAAGGAAGGCGAATTCAAGTTCAAGCTTTGAGCGACATGATCTGGGGCGGGGATTGGAATAACCAGGAAAATACGTGACCCGTTGTAAACAATATTTGGGGATTGCAGCATGCGTGCATGCCTTCATCTGGAATGCAAGTTTCCAACCATAACAAAAAAATAGAAATTTAAAGGTATGCAATGCGTGCAAGGTTTGTAAAAATGTCCACTGCACCACATTTTTGAGCAAACAAGGCTTTTGCTTGTTGTAATCAGAGCTGAAACTGTGCTGAGTCGTGCTACAGTTACATTATTACCAGATCAAGAGGTCTTCCTTACGCAGTGCAACGAAATATCAAAAAATGCCATCAAAATTTTGGGGAAAAAATCCAACAATATTGCCAGGAGGGCGAGTACTGAGAGAAAAACATATTGTGCAAAATCAGAAAGAATTTTACAAGTGCAATTTGTTTCTCCACATATTCACACTGAGTGCAATTCAGGGCTTCCGCTTGCTCTAGTACGAGACGAACTATTGTTATTAACGTATTACATTGTTTTACTGAAATCATGCAGCGAGTGTCGGCGAATATCAGGAAAAAATAAATAAAGATGTGGTGATAACAAGGAAATGAAAGCGGCGAGGAAAAAAAAAACGAAGAAACTGCTAAAAAGTCATCAGGCCAGGCGCGTGTCTGTATTTTATCGACGTATGGCCTGTTATCTGGCTTATGTACTTCGATATTTCGCTGCTTCGTGACCCATATGTATGGCGTGCATCCCTGTAGTGAGATCAATCTTATCAGGAAAACAGTTCCAGCAGCATTACCTTCCTAAGTACTTTGCGTTCTTCGTATATCACTTAGCCCTTCAAAACGAGGGTTACCTGTGATTTAAATATTTAAACTTGACTTTCACTAACCTGAATCACTGTGATGAATTTTCTAGTTTGTCAGGGCTAACACTCCTTGTTAATTACCTGCACCAAGACGGGCAAGCTTACTGCGCAGATATAAGCGGACTCGCCGCTTTTGATTAGTCTACATGGATCACGTGAAGTTTACTTTTGACGAGGTGGACAGCCGCCGCTACAAAGCCTTAGTTTCACGACGTTTTGTCATCTAACAATCAATAATAATGAATGTTTATTAATGTCACCTTTGCGACAAAGCACCGGTAATTAACTTAAGTTGAGTTCTCGCTTCGATACTGATCGCAGCAACGCCGATACGACGTCTTTCAGAGGAAGTGCGGTGTTTTGTAATGCTGAACCTCCCAAATTAATTTGCTTCTTTAAGAGTTTTGACAGACTTTGCAGCATGACAGCAGCTACTGTATTCTTTCTTTATATTATTTCTTAACATGCAGATTGCCTTTTATGATAGGGATAGCAGTCGCTTCGAAGTCCTAGTTTGACAAAGTTTCGTTATATACTAAGCAACAGTAACCAGCGTTCATTAACGTTTTCTGCCAAATGTTACTAAGGGATGATTCACTATAACAAGTATGAACTAACCCATAGTTACGCTCTAGCCTCGTTTTATTCTGTACGTCGAAACCACATTCACACAGGTCAATCAGTTTGACGACCTGCTTTAAAGTTACTTCTCGTCATCTCACTTCGCCTTCACGACTCGCCATTGTAGCCTCGCAAGTAAGGCAAAAACGATGCCGAGGGTTTGATCCCCAGCACCGCCGTGGGGGTCTAGTGGCTAAGGTACTCGGCAGCTGACCGGCAGGTCACGGGTTCGAATCCCGGCTGCGGCGGCTGCATTTCCGATGGAGAAGGAAATGGTGTAGGCCCGTGTGCTCAGATTTGGGCGTACGTTTAAGAACCCCAGGTGGTCAAAATCTCCGGAGCCCTCCACTACGGTGTTTCTCATAATCATATGGTGGTTTTGGGACGTTAAACCCCCCATATCATCATCATCGATCCCCAGCCCAGGTGACCGCAATTAGTTGAACTCAATGTGCTTGAACACCCGTGTACTTAGATTTAGGCGCAAGTTATAGAAAGCAGGTTCATTAACAATAATTCGAAATCAACCACAAAGTGAATTCGTTCGTCGTTCTGGCACGTAAAAAAACCATAATATATTTTTTTTTCATTTAAGCACGCTTTCATTCCGCTGATCATAAGGAACAGTAAAGTGCCTGCTTGTGGCGTGTAATGCACAACACAACTGCCTCCATTCACAACCAGTATTTTACCGCGAGCGCAATAACTTTGATTGATTGATTTGTGGGGTTTAACGTCCCAAAACCATCATATGATTATGAGAGACGCCGTAGCGGAGGGCTCCGGAAATTTCGACCACCTGGGGTTCTTTAACGTGCACCCAAATCTGAGCACACGGGCCTACAACATTTCCGCCTCCATCGGAAATGCAGCCGCCGCAGCCGGGAATCGAACCCGCGACCTGCGGGTCAGCAGCCGAGTACCTTAGCCACTAGACCACCGCGGCGGGGCCGCAATAACTTTTCAGGGATAAACGCGGGCAGGCTCCGCGTACGCGTATGTACAGACAAATCAGCTCGAGACGGTGGTAGACGAACACTTGCAGATGAGGCAGCGATGTGTGATTCCACAGAATTACTTATAAACACTGCGTACATTTGAAGTACCCCTAAAGCACGCCGAGTTAAAAAACGAGAGGGTAGTTCCTTTCTCGCCTTCCTCATCCATCCTACAGGCGCCACCTCCCCGTCGCCACTTATCTCTTGGAAAAACAAGTGGACAATGTTGGCTCTCAGCGTTGTGCCCGTCAGGATTTCGAATTTCACCTACACTCTGTTATCTCCGCTGGCGCAGTCAAAAACGCACAAAACAATGTGAAATAGGTTGACCGCGCACAATGTACATGCGAGACGAGGCAGAACTGGCGCCCTACTGCACGGGAAAGCAGGGTAGGAGTGTATACGCAGCTGATATCTATAGTATGTTAACCAATAGAGAGCTTGTTTCTCCATGACATCACGCGAACAGGCTGCCGGCGTCACGAATTTTGGCGAAAAGACAGGAAACGACAAGAGGGAGCAGCGTATCTGTTCTTTTTATTTTCGAATGTTTTTTACGGGCCCCTTCAAGGGGCAGCCATGAAAGGTGACTTCAAATATTAATGAATTTTTTGTCTCTTGTAATAATCAACGTTTTGCGGCTAGTAAGACTGCCACGCACGTAGAGCCCATCGCAATCGGGACCATTGATCGACAGACGATTGCGCAAATCGCTCACACTGTTGTTAAGCCGTGCTACACTCATTTCAGAAAACACCATTGCGGCTATATCTCGCTTAACGCGTAACGTCTAAGTGCTATCTGATCGAAACGGTATGAACACATCCTAGAGCTGCTGTACTCGCGAGAGGGATCTAAACAAGGCATTTTCTCGTTTTCTCTTCAATGCGCCGCTATGGGGAGATAAAGATGGTCTTGTATAACACTACGTACAACGTTTTTCAAGGCGGCTCGATAGATACTTCTGTAGAGGGATGAAGGGGAGAGGTACGTAGATTGATAGTGCGTTGGTGGTGTGAGAGAGAGGGCGAGATGGATGGGTAGATAGATAGAGAGAAAGACAGAGGAATAGACTTCTGTCTTATCACATTTAGATAGTGTGCTCAATCGTCATCAACCTGACCTCAAATATATGTTATGCTCGCATAAATGTGGCATCTTGGTGCCTGGTGATAAAGGAGGAGGGGAGAGTAGAAAAAATAAAATAAAAGAAGTGGAACGAAAACGCGAGTATCGCACGTTGGTTTCTCAGCCAATAAGTAGCATCTTTCTGTCATAAACTCAAAATGGGCCCCATTAACTTGCTCACTTCTGATGAGCATCGACATTTGAAGGAAATATTCACCTTTTATCGAGCAGTCGTTTACCACCAACGCAAACGAGTGACGGAAAATAGGGCAAACAGAAGGATGAAACTATCTGATCTCTTCGATATTAGATCGCTTCGATGACTACTCAAACAGCGAGAACAATTCGTAGCTCCAGACGCAGATTGTCGATTTTGTCTTAGAAAACAGGCACGTGTGGGGTACTAAAGATACTCTGGCTTAAGCTTAATTAGACGGTGAAGTCGCTCATTACCATCTGAAACGACTGGAGCGGTGCCTCGTGAAGAAATTTAAGTAAACCTGAAATACATCAGTTTATAAATGTATGACGTAACACTGACATTTGTTTTTCACATGAGAGCGTTCGCGACTGAAGAGTGCTATGCTTCTGTAGTTCGAAAGGGCTGCCCGAGGCTGACTTTGAAAGCACAAACGAAGTAGCAACAATGGTGGCATAATGGTACATATTCACATTTTTCTGAGAAGAGACAAAAGCATGCTGACGATGCCATGGCGACAGACATAAACACGCAGCCCAGGAGCTTTCCAGAAGCCAAAAAAAAAAAAAGTGTCTGTAAACCCTCGCGAAACGGTCACTTTACTCGCGAGCTGAACTTGGAATTTTTACGGAAGCTACTTGCCAATAAGTAAGCTATATTGCGACACCAAATGTACTCCGAGATCCTTCACAATCACCGACTGACCTCTGGGTTTACATGAATATGTTCGTGTCGGTGGCACGCATTCATCGTTTCAACAGTAGTAAACATTCGAAAACAGTCTGTCAATACCCATCAAAATTATGAATTATAAATGTGTGCCACATCAGAAATGCTACGAATGATTTCCATCATCTTTGGCATGATCTTGCCGCTGAATACTAGACGAAATGCCAGTGATGGGTTTATTCGCCTTTTAAATACCTAATTTTTAAAATTCTTAAATATCAAACGTTCGAACGTTCGCGACTTTCTTTTACAAATATACGTTCCGGAAACTACTCATGATAGTGTTGTGTTTTTACGAAATGACAGACACTCGTTGCGACACTGAACAGCCAACAGAGGACGCTGGGCCAATAAGAGTGAAAGGTTAAGCGAGCTTACTTTTAATGCGACCGCGGTGGCGCCAGGGGAAGCGCGGTCCCTCCCTTGCCCCACCCCTATAAAAAAAGAAAGAAGGTAGGCGTAGTCTGAACAAAACGCCAGATTCACCACTTATCTCCACCACTCTAGTGGCTGAGGTACTCGGCTGCTGACCTGAGGTCACGGGATCGAATCCCGGGAGTCAGCGGCTGCATTTCTGATGGAGGCGGTAATGTTGTAGGCCCGTGTGCTCAGATTTGGGTGCACGTGAAAGAACTCCGGGTGGTCGAAACTTTCCGGAGCCCTCCACTACGGAGTCTCTCATAATCATATGACGATTTTGGGACGTTAAACCCCACATATATGTCAATCAATCCACCACTCTACCCCAAGAATCCTGGCGCCACCCCGGAACCCGACGTCGACATGCTGTCTATGTTTATGACGTATTGAGGGGTGTAACTTGTCTAAACGTAAATGTCCACAAACCAGTTCATAATATCAAGCAACAATAGTACAAACCTGTTGTATCATTGTGGTCATCAAACAGTTTATAACAGACTTCACTTGCGCCACCTGTTGCACAAATCAGGCCTACAAAAAAATTACAGCAATCGGCACTAATTTCTCGAAAAGCCAACAGTGAATATAAAAGAGGAGCTCGACAATTCAAGTCGGTAAATATCAATTAGGAGCCCACACGGCTCGCTAACAACAGTGTTTGAGCTGCGATACCCACTAAGAAACCATACCACCGCGTCACAAGACCACGACGATATTGTCCAGTCCTGCTTTTCGCAGACAACGACGAGAAAGAGAGCAGTAACACAGTTTGAAAGTTTGGAAACGCAATAAGACGGGCACGGGTATTCCGGTAAGCATCCCTGTAAACGCATCCAGGCACTGCAGCCAAAACTTTGTTGTGAAGTTCCCAGCAGGACATTTTGTTTCTTCTTTGTCCACGAGCGTTTTCCGACAGGTGCCGTGTCTCGGCGTGACGGGCTTCTCCGCTGGGCAGTATGAGAGACAGGCCTGCCTGCGTGGGCACAGGGCAGTCGCTGCGTTGGTTCGCAATCACGCGTGTACTGGCGCGTGCTTCGAACCCGATGACCTGCGGAAATGAGAAAGCGAGGAGATCGTGACGCGAGAAAATGCTTTGTTGATCACTACATCTTAGACTGCATTGCCAATCCGGTCAACGTTGTAATAGATAGTTCCAATGTTTCGCAGCACATGGACTGGGGACAAACAAATAGAAGACACACAAGGCGATGATAGTCTACGCTGGCATCGAGCCCCGGTCGTTCGAGTAAAAGAACTCGTCTTTAATACCAATAATATTATCTGGTATCTTACGTGCAAAAACCACGACAAGATTGCGAGGTACGCAATAGAAGAGGGCAACAAAAATTTCAACCCTCTGGTGTTTTTCAACGTGCTCTGCAATGGCATAGTAGATGGGCCTCTAGCTTGTAACGCGCTCGGAAGAGGTCTGCAAGAGAGACCTTCGAGTGTAGCATAAAATTCTTGTGCTTCTAACTTCTTTCCTGTTCAACGCTGTGAAATTTTCAATGCTACTATCATCAAACGCATAACAAACGATGGCTACCTCTTCCTTTGAGCAGGCGACCTCCATGGAGAGTTTTTAGCCCAGTTTTCGACCACCGTCTGGTTTGTACAGAAAAGTAGCCCGTATCACATTTTTCACCAGTGCTGCCTTTGCGAAGTCGTTTATTTCGGCAGCTATGCGAGAATTTGTGAACAGAATAAAGGTGACCGCCGTTCTCTCCCCTGCTATTTAGCTGTCTACAATAATAATTGAAGCTTGGCCTTAATCGAAATCAAAAAGAAATGATCACGGACTGGATATGAATTGAGAAGTAATGGTAAGCAATAAGGATTAAGGGTAGCAGACTCCATTCTAAGAGAAAGCAAGTGCAAGAGGGAGATATAGAAAGTTAGGCGGGCAGATGAAAAGGTAGAAACTGTTTGGTTATATATGATCTTGAGTAATTGCACTGTAATGTATCTGGAAGAACTGGACGGACTTCATGTTATGGTCTGTCCTGTCCATGCAAGTATGTCCATTTCCAAAGGAGAGGTTGAGAAGTTGGTATAGGGATGACTTGACCGGAACAAGTAAACGACCGGGTTGATTGGTGAAACATGGGAGAGGCCTTTACCATGCAGAGGGTGTAGTCGGGCCGATAATAATAATAATAATAATAATAATAATAATAATAATAATAATAATAATAATAATAATAATAATAATAATAATAATAATAATAATAATAATAATGTTCAAGTGCTCGACGCACACGTTCCAGTTGGAAACTACGCGATCACGTTGTATTGATCATATTGGCAATGTTAACTTTTTTGGCCAGCACGAGAAAGTAATTTCGCTTACCTAGAATGTAATTCACATTGGGCTGTTGGTTAACTCTTCGTGGAAGTCGTCTTACAACCATTCGAAGCCGGTGCAACAGCCGGCTTGTCTTGCGAAGAGTATAGTCCCAGCTTCACCTTGAAGTCGCTGATGCAGCCCGTGAACGAAGTTCTTCGCGTGGGAAACGGGTTGTAGTTCTCGCCCACCGAGCGTCTCGGCGACGTTGGAGGGGTGACCCTCGAGTCGCCGACGTCACCCGAGAGAAACCTTTGTCGCCGAATCAACGGTATAGACGTCGTACCATCGCCCACTCCCGAACCACCAGACTGACCCGAAGCCGTCATCATTGTGGCGTCTGTGCTCAGTGACCGAGCCGTCTTAGGCCTAGCCGATTCTACGCCAGATTGCCCTCCTAGCGCCGTCGCTGAGCCTTCGGACGCGCAACGGACACTTCGCGTCACCGACGTCGCGTGAGCCAGACTCTCGAAGAACTTAGAGGCGTCAAACTTGAGCGAGGACTTGCGGGGCGCGCCTCCGGGACACCGCGATTGTCCGGAAGGTGTCGAAGAGTCGCGGCGGCGCCCTGAAGCCTCGTCCACGGCCGCCTTGCTCTCACTGTCGGCCACGGTGTGCACTCCGGAGTCCGGGGACACCTTCTGTCCCAGCAAAAATACCGATCTTCGAAGTTCCTTGTTGGGAGACATTAGGTGCGAGCTCGAAGTACTCGATTCACTATACCTAAATAAATCCTGGCTCGCCTCTTGACTGGCTTCATGGCTAGCTTCTTGACTAACGTCCTCTTCGGCCTTCTCGAAAATCATCTCGTTCAGCGTTTCTAGTGTAGTGCAGGTCAGCGACGAGCCACGCCGCTTCTCCCCCGGAAACATTGGCTCTCGGCCAGACGACGAGTCGTAGGGCAGCAGCCGGCCATCGATAGATTCCTGGCTGGCCCTGAATGAGCCCGTCCTGTCTTCTTTCAGTAGACAAGGTCTGGCAGATGTGACATCTCCGGGTGCCGCGTCACCGTCGTCGGCCTCTTCCGAGATGGACCTCTCGTAGCGTAGCGACGACTGTTGGTAGTCGGTGTCGGACGACCTCCAGCTCACGTCATTGGACGTGTTCCTACTGTCGTACTTGTAGGACCACTTTCTCAGTGCAGACGAGCTCATCTCGCTGCTCGCCGAACCCCGTTTGCTAGAGTCCCGGCGAAACCTCTCCATTTCGGTCGAAGGTGAGTCGCCGCCTGTTTCGTCCGAGGTGTTAGTGCGTCTCGGCGGCCACCGAGGTGGAGAGCCCAGCGAGAGCTTCCGGTCCGCGTCCTCCGAAGACGACCTGTCAATGTTGGTCGAGAGTCGCTGGGGGGCTCCCAGTTCGTCTGTTCCTCGTCGGCTGGTGTTTCGTAACGCCATTCGCTGGGCCTGCCTGTCGGACAGCGCTGACTGGCTGAACTTTCTGGACAGCCTCTGAAACTCTTCGTCCGAGAGTTTAGCTTGGTTCGCCTGCTCGTCGGAAGGTTTCCTGCTGCCCACTTCCGAAGGCGGTGGTGGTCCGCTTGACGAGGACGTTGTTAGGCAGGCGTCACTCGAAGACTTCCAGCTCGACGCCTCGGAGGACGTCCTAATGTTGTACTTGTCCGAACCGGAGAGAACCATGTTGGAGAAGGTGTTTCTCGAGCTTTCTGTCTCCGAGCTGAGGGAGTCAGGAGCCGGCTTTTGCGGTTGAACCCTTTCTAGGGAACGCGACGAGTCGTCCAACACGGAAGACGCCTCCGCTAAGGAACTGACGGTCTCCAGCTTCGAAGAAGGCTGCTCTTCTTCGTCTGACGTTAAGCTCTCCGACGACGAGTTCCTCGAGGCGTCGCTCTCGTCATCCGGTTTGTAAGAACCGTCGTCGTCGTCGTCTAGGCTTATCGGTTCCTGGTGCCTTACTAAGGTGGCACGAACACCCGATTTTCTCGCTGCTCCAGTCACTCCAAGCTTGAACCCTTCGGCCAGACGTCGCGGAGGAAGCTTCGGCTGCGCACCCTCGGCGTCGTGTGCATCGTGGCGACGCTTGGCCCGCCGGCCACGGCTTTCCTCTTCTTCAGAGGACGAAGACAATGAACTGTCTGACGTCTTATCGTACGTTCCGTTCTTTAAACGGCGCGGAGATTTCCTTTCCGGTAAAGAGGGCGGCAGTACCTTGGAGTCAGCGTCGTTTACTTGCTTCTCGCCACTCTCCTTCCTGGAGGGCGGCGGCGGTTCGTCCGGCGACGACGACCTGTTGTTCTTGTCATCACACAGTTCGGTAGACGAAGAACTCGAACAGCTGCTACTGTCGTCCCTCCCAGCTTTCAACTTCTTCGCCTGCTCCCAGGAAAGCGTTTCGACGGGTATCGGGTCTCTCGTGGTCACACGAGGGGATGCCTTTCGCGCCGTCTTTGGCGTGGCGGCAGTCGAAGACAAACGCGCGTTGGTCAATGGTGAGCTCGAAGGCGATGTTCTCGAGGTTGACGTGGTCGGTACGCCTGCCTACGCGCGGGGATACTCGTGTCGTTGACGTGACGCCGCTCGACGGTGTTGCCGATGTGTATGTGGTCGGTAAGCCGGTGGGCACGGCGTGCGTCGGAGGCGGCGGGCGGCACCTGCGTACGAGTGGCTTCTGGCCCGCGAGAAGGTTGTTTACTGGAACGCCCGGCGATATTCGTGGGGGCGCGTCGACGCGGGAGCCTGCAGGTTTCCTGCGAAAGAAGATATGATATGGTGAAATTAATGCCTCACCAAGATTTAACTTTCTCAAAAACACCAAAAGTGGCGGTAGGAGCTTCTCGGACGTCACTTGTGACAGTTTATTTTGATCATCTGGGATCCTGTAACATGCACCTAAATATACGTACACTGGTGGTTTCGGCATTCCGACCCCCTCATGTGTAATAATAGGGAGCCTAGATACAAATATTATACACGGCTACTTATGTAAGTAAATGACTTTGTGTATACGATAAGTAAACAAAAATGAGAAAACAATGAAACATTTCTCACCAGTGAGAATGATGTGCGCTTGGCGTTGGCGCTGTCTTAGTCTTGAGTACTGCCTCTTAAGTGTCGAGATGTCCAATGTCATTCGACTAGGGTCCAAGGGGCTCGGTAGGGAAGCGTGGACGGCTCCCTGGCCTAGAGGTTACGAGATAAAAAAATAATGACTATTTTAGTTAGCTTAAATTTTGCAATACAATGACATCGCGACTGTCACCGATATAGGTTAGGAGATTCATAGATCTACGTTAGTCGAGGCGTATGCCATCATGACTATAATATAAACATTGAGTTAACTAAAGCTAGCATCCTTCAATTACGGCTAGTACTACGCAAAACGACGTTTCTAGAGTACTTAAGGCACAACAATAAAGTCGGTGCAATGCGCGCCATATTAGTGACCCACACACGCACTACATGCACACACGCACAAGCAACCACTGGCATGAAATCATACAAAAAAAAATCAAGAAATCCCAGCTCTAACCATGCCTAACTATGCATCAAATGGAGACATGTTCGCTCGAAGCAAAAGTACTTTTCAATCGGGCACGCAATTTGCCACGGCTGTGATAAAATTAACATACCACTATTTCGCTCATTAGTGCGTTAGTGGCATTACATGATCAATTAAACGTAGCGTGAGTGTCGTGCTTTTGATGTGAGTGAACATATAGATTAGGCGCGTAGTTTTTTTTCGTCAAAAGCTTCGTTCGGGTCTTACCTCTATTCTTGGCGACGAGAAAGGCATTGGAGATGCCGCAGAAGGCGGCGGCCACCATCATCTGGTGGTCCGAGTCGGCGTCGTTCTCCTCGTCGTCGCCCAGGAAGAGCCAGAGCCCGTGGCGACTGGGTGCCGCTGCGGGAGGCAGGGGCCTGATGTTGTACGTGTAGCGGTCGCGCAACTCCGACAGCTGCGGGATAGGCACCCTGGACACGTCGCAGATGGCCTGCGCGGGGCCACGTCAGCACCGCAAGCAAAGCACGAGGCACGGCACACACGTGAATTTGTGACAACGGTCGGCGTAGCGAACAGCAGGGGCAGAAAGCGGTTTGATACGCACAGAGTCGACCGTAGATTGCGATTGGCAACGAACGCAGCGCATTAGTCGAGACGGGTAGTTGCGTTGAAAGCCCAAATATGTGATGGCCGGGGCATGAAAAGAGAGGAAAAAGGTAGAAATAACATGGATTAGAAGGTGTTCGTAGAGACAGATAAGGTCGTTAAAAACTTCAAACATGTTATAGGCTCCAAAATGCTCAAGCATGCCTGCAAACGTTATGTCACAAAACCAAGACTTACTAAGAGCCATGAAAACCAACAGCTTTCTCAGCTCCCTGGACATTACAATTTCCCAATTTTACGTGACCTACCCACATTGACACGTTTTGCGGAGCACAGGGCACGCTTTACCGTATGATAGGAGGTGTACATAATCACCTCTTAGTGCACCCATCCGAAACAACACCCCTGAACTAAGGCAGCCTCATCCTCTAAAGACAGCGCTAGCTTGTAGCAATTAGGGGTCACGGGCACGGCGGAAGTCTATAGATGGTTTTCACGTGGGGGGCTGATCATCCTTAACACAATGCCTGAATTATACCGAATAAGGATGCTTAGTGCCTCTCTCTCTCTCTCTCTCTCTCTCTCTGATGACTTCTAAACCAGTATATTGGACAATCCCTTTCTGCCAGGCCGCTGGCGCAGGCATTCGGTGTAAAGCCTAAAAAGTCCTAATGTCTAAGACGTCATCTACGGGCCAAATGGGATAAAACCGCCAAAACACAAACCGTAATGTCGTGAGATGTTGACGCCTGTATAGATGCCAAATGTTTGCACCTCTGCGACGCACTGTATACATGCTCGAAATGCTAGATAGGAGCCATAAAAGCGGAGTCAGTCTCACCACGATGAATTCGTGGGGGTCCTTGACGCCGAACTCAACCATCTCCCGGGTGAGCACGCCCATCACACTGTAGAACTCGTCTGCGCTTCCCACGGTCATGATGCGGCTGCCAGTACCGAGACCATGCAAGGAAAGCGACAGGTTTAACAATTAATTGAATGCTGCTAAAGAAACAAACAGTCAGCTGAGTTCAGGAAAGCTTTCTGCGAACAGTAGCATTTTCAAATTGCACGCAATTTCGGTATTTTTTGAATTACTGCCGTGAGACGTCATCGCGTTTTCCTGCTTTATGTCAACTTAAGATATGAGCGATTTGCCATAGCTGAACCATTGGCAACGCCTGAAGTGGCTGCAAGGATCGAATTGGCGGCAGTTGCCCAGAACCAGCCTCCTTCCAGCCCAAATGCTAGACCTCTTGGAATTCGGATCTTCCTCATATAGTTGTCACAGCATAGGTGCAATTCCACTCATTATTGATTTTAGCATTCCCTCCCTTTCCAAACATCATCACGCATCAGCAGGGTGATAAGAAGGAGCTTCATGGCACGCTGTACAGTACTATACCTTAAGAGAAAATTATTATCATCACCACTACGAATCAGGCGCGATAATGTGCCGACGATTAACCTAACCGCATGTATTGACGGCCCTACGTCAGTGCATGTTGTGGTAAGCAATCGATCGATCGATCAATCAATCAATCAATCAATCAATCAATCAATCAATCAATCAATCAATTATTCAATCAATCAATCAATCAATCAATCCCTGCATCATGCTATTAGAAAACGAGTCGTACCACAACCTTCCCCCTTTTTACGCTGCTACACACTTTCGATTGCATGACTACATCTCTGTCCGCGGAAGCGAGAACAGTGAAGCGGTGCGTGCTCACTCTGCCAGCCCCTCCCAGATGGTGATGGCGGTGCGCAGGAGCACCTCATTTCCTTCCAGCAAGATGAGGTCCCAGACGCGCACTACCAGCGAACGCGGAAGGCACGTGGTGAACAGCGTCAAAAACCACTGCATCGTAAACACGTTCGTCAGCGGGGGCTCGTAGTTCAGACCTGCGAAGATGAAGAGCGAACGCACCAAGTTAACGGCAACCGCACAGCTAGGCTATTTTTTTTACGTGCAAAAGTTACAGTTGAAGAGCTCAAAGTATACCCTCAAGTTGTGAAAGTTTAGGAGTTGACCACATGTGTCACAGACCATATTACGAGATGCTATAGAGGTCGAAATACTATAGACCCCGTAATATAATGGTAGATGTGCTGCGTAAGTGAGAACAATGTGGAAGTGTAATCAGATCTAGCTTGTAAAGGAGCATACAAGCCCACTGACCCGCCTTGCTTTCACCCGCTTGAAGCCTGTCGAGGTGCGTGGCCAAGTTGCTGTGCCGCAGCCGGAGCAGCTCCCGGAACACGGCCATGTCGACGGAGAGGCCGCGGAGGTTGTTGGCGAAGTAGCCTTCCGGAAGCACTCCTTCAACGAGGTAGATCATCATCTGCAGCAGAGACACATCGCCACCATCGCCACTTCCTGGGTAACCTTCAGACGTGTATGTATTAGGGTAAAGCAAAAGGACAATAAAACACGCCTGTCAACTTAATAAACAGCGAATAGCCAGTATTAGTCAATAGGAATGCAGCACTAGCCAACGTCCGTCTGTTTACACTAGGCCACATTACCCAACGGCTAACATACGTTGGGTCAGCAGTGGACCTCACATAAACTGCTCCCTTCCTTCATAATTAAAAGATGTTCTAGCTGCAACAAGCAGAACATCTATTTGGCACTGATTACTATATATGTGAAGAGGAAAAGGTAAATTAAAACAGGCCGGTTAACTGGTGGATACGTCCAGTTTGCTACCCTATGATTGGGAAGAGAAAAGGGGTTATGAAATAGTGAAATAGGAGACGAGTCTGTAAAGACTTTACATTGCAGAGGTTTATTTTATACTAAAAAAACCGGCACGCTCGTCGACGTCGGGGTAATCTGGAAAACTATTTTTTTTACTAACAAAACTTGAAAACCTTTGTCGCAACAAAACAAAATATTCAGGATGCAAATGTTCCCGTTGGCTCTTTTATCCCGGTGCTGATGAACCGTACGACGCGCAGACCTCGTGAACGCTCGCCGACCACTCTCGCCTGGGCTTTCACTGTTCCTGGTTATAAAGCCACTACGCACGCGGGCGCAAGCGTGTTGGCCCTCGCTGCTGAGACAGACAGCCATCAGTGAGGATGAAGGTGATTATCACACACGACGTATGTTCATAACTACAGAAGGTTTTGTCATATTGAGGTCGGAAAATACTTGTCTTTTAATTATGGTGACGCATCGGCTGCTTCTGCTGCCTTAGTCAAGATCCCGTAAAATGGGTTTAAATGAACATACCCTCGGACTCCAAGCTCTCACCTTGAGCGCATCCTGATCACACCACTCGACCACCTCGAGTACGAAGGCGGCGAGCAGGTTGAAACCCTGACAGTAGCCCACGGACTTGTTCCAGCGCGCGTACGCCAGCAGGACCCGCTTGAGTAGCGCCTGGTTCTGCTCCGCTTGGTCGCCGCTGAACAGGCTGCAGCCCGTACGGTGGAGGTCCTGCACAGGGACGATGAACCGGAATCTAGTGCCACCTATGACATATTGCTCACTTCTCTCACTCACTGGTTCACTTACAAGACCAAGCTTTGCGTTCGCTTCCTTTGGGCGAAGCACGACTTCCTGGAGCCCTGGCAATTCTATTAGGCACACGTTTTTCGAAACGTTCGATATACATTGACATGGGTACAATGACATCAACAGCCCTGATAAAGGGAGGTTGAACACCGTACGTGTGTCGCACGAAACAACAAAGAATCCTACACGAATTTATCAGAAATAAAAAAACTTTCTAGAGTCGTCGAAGTCCGAAGATGGAACCCGGACAACGCATTTCCAGGGTGATCGCTCTACCAGTTGAGCTAGCCAGTGCAGGAAATTAGCAATGGTTGGTGCGGCAATGAATTACTAAAAAAAACTTGAAGTCGTCTACTAGCTTCCTGGTTTGTTCAATTGATAGAGCGACAGCTCAGAAAAGCGTTGGTGGTCCCCAGTTCGATTCCGGGACCACGAACGAATCTTTCGGCAACTAAGAAGGTTTCTTCCAGAAAAACCCGTGTGACTGATCTTGTGGTTTAGCTCCCCTATCCATACAGCATGCGCAAAGAAGGAAGGTGGGGCGCGAAAGTTGCTGCATATATTAACTTAGTAGGGAGGGGTGCTGCGATACACAATCAAGCCCCCCTCTCCTCTCCCGTATTCTCCTGATAGTGCACGCTGAGCACGCCTATGCGGCGTCCGTACAGTGCTGTCCTGCTTAACCTCTTGACAGTGTGAAGCTCATTATTGCCCATATTGCAGCCCAAAGAAGCTGCAATTCTCATCTTCGCTTAAACACAGAAATATAGTACACACACACTCATACGCTCGTTAGGCATATGCACAAGATAGCAAAAGTAGGGGCGCGGTCCTAGTGGGCGAACAGCGTAGTGCCACCAAAGTAGCAATCCAGGCAGCCTGGCCTCACGGCCTGGTCAGACGTCTTTCATTTGTTCAATACGCAAAATATCATAACACTGTAGCGTTCTCCTATGTTCATGAGTGACGTTCCCACCTTGACAATTTGCACGCCAAGGTTGTCGTCGTCAGGGTTGCAGCGTTCGTTGAAACAGAACCGCGCCGTCGCTTCCCAGTCCAGGTCTCGGCTGGCCAGGTAGCGCTCCGCCAGCGTCAGCCAGATCTGCGCACGAATACGAAAAAAAAAGAGAAAAGACATTGCATGTTCAGTATTCCCCACAACTTGTGAACATTAGAAGTGCATGACGTCCCCCATAAATATTGGAACCCACGGTTGTAAACACAACGTGTTTTCATAGCGAGAGTCCTATTTCTATAGATATGATCCCATAGGCTTATTTCGAAGGTTTCTTGCTCAGCTTCCTTGCATCTTTATATATCTCTCTCTCTTCCAGCTCGAAATAAGATGGCGTGCTATTTCGGCGCGAGCTGGCAACAAAAGAGTGTTCCGCACCCGCCGTTGTGGCAGCGAGTGGCGCTGGCTAACACTGCCAAGGAGACACGAAAGTATAAATACGAAATACAGTGAATAAAAATGTGACCACCTCTGCGGCTCAATGAGAGCATCGGCCCCAATTGCATGTTTTGTCCCTGCCGATGGCAATTTGACTTATTATCTACTTTATTTAAATTCCATTCACGTCCCAATTACAATATTCCTGTTCAAACAAATACAAGTATAATATTCCCCACATGTTCCTTATCTTCACTGTCAGTTGGCTTCTTTATAGGAAGCGTCCAACAAAACAAACGAGCAATCGAACGATCTTCCCGTGAGATTGCATAAAAGAAACACGTACCTGATGGAGGCTGGCCACTGCTTCGGCAGGTGGGCCTATCTTTGTTAAGGACACCTCACCATCCTTAGCGTGTTAGTTGGAAAAAAGGTTAGTTGTTTACGTTACGTTACGGTGTGCTACTGTCTGTACTTTCCTCCATCTTCTGAAGAAAGGAATTATCTACACTGAGACTACGTCACGTGACGTCACAGACTAACAATTCAGGAACCAACACGTCCATTGAGGATGAAGCGCCTTTGACGAAGATAGGTCGACCTATCGAAACGTCGGCCAACCAGCCTCAGGCACTTATTCCTGCTGAAACAAAATCTATAGCTTAATGAGAAGGTAGCGCGAAACACATGAGGACCAGATGGAAACACATCAAACGTGTGCATGTATGTTGTAAGTGTTCGCTTCTGGTCTTATCATTTTAACGCGAAAGCATCAAGGAGCTCGTTCCACCGAAATTCTCGCGTCGACGTCGTTGGTTGTTAGCGAAAAAGTCATCATCTTGTCCGTGACCGAAAAATTAACAAACATGCAAATAAAATAAATAATTAACAATTATCGGATTCGAGAGTGGACCTAACTCGGGCCATTTGCGTGGAAAGCAGGTGTTCTACCATACAGCCACGCGTCCACATCAAAATGTTTTCCTCTGCTTGGAAACGCAGGGAAAACTTGCATGCTTCGCAAACACACGCGTTCTCTATACAGGCGTCCCAACACAACAATGTGCTATAGAAGCAACGAAGTGATATTGCGCGGTACAAGCGTACATTGTCATCGGGCGTCATAACATGGGATTATCATGACGACTTCGTCGTTTAAAGCCGGCTGCCCATTACAAAAGAAGACACCACGTAGCGGGCACATAGCAAGTTCAGAAAACATTTCACACGCGTAATGGCTCGTGGTTTAAAGCATGCTGCTTATTACACAGAATACAGCAAGCTTCACCGACATAAGCATCTTTGAAAATCATTAATTGCTTTGTGGTAATCCACAATTTAAGCTTCTCGAGTAGCATCAAGCAATCAAAATTACGCACTAAGTAGGTTGAAGTCGGCATTAGGGACAGAGTATCGCCTATTGCATCGAACTCTGAAGCTTGAGGGTCTCTCCTCCCCCCCCCCCTCTTTTTTCGCGCAATCTTTTGATTAAGCATGTTACAACAGCCCGCTCAGATAGAGCCCCTGTATTGCACGTACTATCCACCAGCCAACTTAACTATAATTTGACAGGCTGCTTGACTAATTAGCTCTTATTTTTTTTCCTGATGCACCTAGTTAGTAATCCACACGGGAACGAGTTTACTGCTGCCTCTTTTGGTCACCACATACTGGATTAAAAAAAACGCGACACAGGCTGAAACTAGTTTCCATTTTCAGCTTGCGTCATGTTCTGCAAACTTTTTTGGGAGCATACTGCTCTTGTATAGACATTGTGGCGCGTTACCAGGGGCGCACAAAAAAGGGGGGGGGGGGAAGGAACCCATCTCAGAAACTTTTGAAGATGGAATCAAAACACATTGCCTACATTCATCACAGCGGCTTAAACTACTTGCACCTCAAAAACAAAAAGAACAAGAAGAAGGAAAACAAAAAAAAGCCGCAGAAGAAAGAAAGAAAATTTATCTGCCAATACAGTTTTCTTGGCAGTGTTCGCTGGGGCTTTACCCCGAGAGTTTGATTATCACAAAACGAGGAGCTTTCCAAAGATGTCCTGATGTACCTTTGCGAAGTGCCTAAATTTCCCGAAGGTTAACGTGAAATCAATAAAGGAAACGAATTCAGCGATAGCAAAAATTTTAAAAAAGTTAGAAGCGATGTTCTTGAAAAAAAAAACATCTTACTTTGCCCTATCTAAGCAGAATAAGGGGAAAAACAAAACAATTGTTTAAATAGTTTATTAAAGTTAAGAAAAAAACACATCTGTTAGGCTGCCTATTTGAAACGCAAGTAGAGAAAAAATAATCACCTCCCATGCACTCCGAACAGTTCATCAAGAACGCGATGAACTGAGTGATCGCGTCAACCGACTCGACAGACGACCATTTACGATTGGAAAAATGCTTGGATCATGTCCACATTCCGATAATCAGAGGAACGCAGTGAGCATCCTCCCTGATTTTTTATTGGACAGAAGTTTAATTAACTGTCTTTAGTTCATATACATGGCCACTGTTTGTATGGAATCTGTACGCAATGTGATCCCGATATATGAACTGAACTATGCCCGTATATACTGTGCTCATTCATGCATAATAAGCCCTATAGTGTACATAGTATGCATATAGTGCCTTTGATTAGTTTATTCCTCTTTTATTCTTAATTTTTCGTGTTTGTGTGTTTATCTTGTACATCACTGTCATGATGTCGGGATAGCCGGCGATAACGTAGCCTACCTTCCCATTTTTTTGCCAAATATAAATAAATAAATAAGTTATTTAGACGCTGAAACATACGGCCCCCGTATGTGCTACAACTTAAGGAACGTTCCTTAAGTTGTAGCACTTATCTCGTTACACAAGGTGATAGATCAAAATGAATTGTCACCGATGTTTGATTTTGAACTCTTGACGTTTTTTTTTTTTTTGAGATATCAGTGGCCCTTAAAAGCGGCATGTGGCTTGTTCACTTTTCATTCTCGGACGAAGGCCGTGCCACGGCCGAAACGTAAATCTATAAAAGAACTGCTTGCTTTCTCGCACGTGTACCAGCTTCTTTTCTTATACGTACCTGATCCACTGAACTTTCCCACTGAATATATATATATATATATATATATATATATATATATATATATATATAGCTATAGCTATGCTACCGTGTATACATATATATGTATACACGGTAGTACGTTTTCTACTTATTACCAAATAATCTGTCAAGCAAGCTTATTTTATGCCCGCCGCACACACGAGAAACAATTATATGAAGCGCGTCTTCTCCTCAAGCTTAACAATCTTACAGCAGAGCACGCTTTACAGGAGTACACAAAGTAAGTGCATGTGGTTGTCGGCAAGAATAAAATGAAATGAAAAAAACTATTTTTATTACTATATATATATATATATATATATATATATATATATATATATATATATATATATATATATATATATAGGAAACGCAAGAATGAGAAATAATCCAGAAAAATACTCCGGCGGGCGGAATTGAACGTCCGACCTCTCAATTCTGAGTGCGTGGCGTTAGCCACTGAGCGATGGAGGAGCACCACCTTCAACGTTGAAAAAGCAAGCTATTTATATCTACCACTCACCGCTGGCGATGCCGATTTTGGGGGACTATTGTGTTTTCAGCATTCCCAGTGAGATGGCGCAATGAGCGCGTTTCGCCAGATCGCCACGACGCGGCGACGCGCCCTCATCTCCCACCCGTACTTTGCCCCGCGGAAAAGGGGGGGGGGGGGGGGGTCGTACGCCTTGGGCATTTACCGTAGCGATTCCGTTGTAGTCATCGAGAACACAAAGGTCACTGCACTCGCTGCACGGTCATCACCACCTCATCATGATCAAAATAATACTGAAACACACACACACACACACACACACACACACACACACACACACACACACACACACACACACACACACACACACACACACACACACACACACGAGACAAAACAAAAGATAAAAATTATATTACGCACTTATGACGAGTTTGTGAAGTTTGGTTTTGTTTATCAATATAAAGTTTCAGCGCAAAAAAAAAGTAATTGAAACGGCGTGTTCCAACGAGGACAGTAACAGAAAAAGATACTATTGTAAAAACAAAAGCAGTCCAGAATGCTTATGGAAAGATGAAAATAAGGAACATCCGCAACTAATCCGACAGCTTAAAAGTCGAAATAAAAACGGCTGAACATTGAAAAAGACAGAGACGGGAAATCAGGTCAGTCAATTCTCGGGCAGAAGCTTAACGTGATTGGTACGGAAGGGAAGGCGGCGAGTGGAAGAATAAAAGGACAGGAAGTGGAGGACTTCGACCCGCGTAGGACAAAATGCGTCTCGAGATAATGACGTGGACGGTATACGATCATCCCCAGTTTCAACAATAGCGTCGTCAACTGGTCGGCCTATTGTGCAGGCATTGACCAGGGAGGGGGATTACGTGGCCCCAGCGAGACCCGTCACGATCACGCTCGCCATTGTGCCGGCGACCGACTCTGTAGAACTTTTCTCGCTGCGTCCATTTTTTCCAAACAACTCCGTTCTCAATGCCTTGTTGAGAGATATCAAGGCAGTATGAAAGGGCTTGGAACAACAACAAAGACGACGACGGCGGCGACAAAAGCAACAACGACAAACACACCGGCCGTTCAATCAATCAATCAATCAATCAATCAATCAATC